TAAAACTCTTCATTTTTATGAATGTAATAGGTGTAGAAACTTTGCTTGAAAATTAACATTACAAGACTATTTTGTCACCTTTCAAATATTAAAACTCCCTATAGGTTTTCTTTTTTCTCTCTTTTAGGAATTTATCTTTGTAACAGATACCTATAGACTACTGTACCATGACCAGTATTAGTCATCAAATCCCAGTACATTAGAAACTGGTAACTCTCAATCACAATAACAGATGCAGCTTTTTCGCATTTAGCTGACTTACGTGGGTGCAGTGAAAGAAGGATGTAAGCAAGCTTTTATCACCTTTTTAACATCAAAAAGGGTAATGCTCCAGAGCACCACATTTGCTGTATAATCCCAAACACAGTATTTTGGATTAAAATACATTGAGATGGTAAAAATTCCAACAAGCATTCTGACACCAGAAAAACACAGATAACATTTCAACTAGAAGAATTGTAAACACAGTTAAGAATGGAAAACAGCAGTTAAAAGAGTACAAACCAAAACATTCAGTAACCATGTGCTTATGATTCAAGGGACTTCTATGAACTTTAAAGGCATCTTACCTAACTTTTTCACAAATGGCAACAACTGTAAGACATGGATATAGAAATTACAGTGCTCTAAATGGTCATCTCAATTTCTCAGCATGCTTGGATTTCAAATAAAATTCTCTTGAGAAAGAAGGCAAATCTCTCCAAAGACTACCTAGAAAATCTAAGGGCTTGGAGACAGTCTAGGTAGGCTGTGAGCAGTAAGTACAAAGCGTCAATTTGCAAAGCTAACTACAATCTGACAGGCTCCCTGTTAGCACATGTAAGCATGAGCTCACCCTACATTTGAAGGAGAATTACTTTGGAAAAGCTTTGACTGAACTGTGTGTAGCAGAGTTTGCTCCCCTTTCAATGGAATAAACCATCTTATATTTAATATATATTAAGACTGGTAACATGGTGCATTAATACCGGACAGTTATGTTGAGTAAACACAGAGTTTACAGTTAACTAGCTTTCCCCTGTGGATAGTTGCAGCGTGTAACAACATAAAGCTGCCCATTTCCAAGGAGAGCTGACTGAATGTTTCAAACTTGTCGATGTAACTAACACATCATACTTTTGCCTGCCAGCCCATTCACGCTCCATAGGAACTCCAAAGTATCTATATAATCCAAAGCTTCGTAAAGGAACCTTCACCCTTCTATGTAAAGACAAAATTGGAAGCATTGCTGCCAGCTTCAATGGAAAACTAAGCCAGCCACTGAAATACTTTTCCATCTTCATCACTCATATTTTAAGTGTCAGCACTTGTAACATTGTCCATGAACAACTCCTACAATACTTTAAGATGCCTCAGGACCTCACTCTGATAATAAAATTTGTTCGGTGATGACACAGCACAGCGCGATAGTAAGAGCAACACTACATGCAGAGCTCTGCTATTGTGCAGGATGTCTAAACACAGGGCTTGTAAGTGGTATGGGGGGCAGAAAGTCTCAGAAGGTTGAGAATAATCACTGTCTTAGAAAAAGTGTTATTACTACTGTGGTAAAATACATCTTTCCTTGATGCAGAGGAGCCTATGAAATTATCCTTTTTATTGTTGGAGCCTATATCTAATGAGAGTTGGATTTGAAAGAGACTCTGAAAATGTGCTTGCTGGATATAACCATCAAATCCCAGCACTCTGACTTCTGCTGGAGGTTGCTACCCTCCGACAACTACACCAGTGCCACACCAATAACCCAAACTATGCCATCCTCACAGGCGCCTTTCCATTTCTTTTTCTTTGGAAAGAATGGAGGAGTTTACCTGCCATTTCTGGCGATTTAACAACACTGAGATAAGAAACAAATAGCTAAGACGCATATAGAAATGTCAAGGCCTGAAGCCTGGTGTTTCTGCTACACTGCTTTTTAGCAAGACAGACCTAGGAACCACCAGAAGTGTTAAGGGAATGAATGCATTTAAGCTGACTACATGGATATAAAATGTGTCTAATCAGTCTAGTGCCAACATGCCTGTCAAGAAGATGGGACTTATGCGTCAGAGATGAATGTTGGCAGATTTAGCTGCAGTAGTTTAAGATGTGATGTTATTGCCCTCAGTCCACCATCCTCCTCTGCCAGAGGCCACTGGCTGTTGCACAGGTGGCTAAATTTGCTGCATTTCTATACCACTATTTCACTGTATCTATACCACTGTAGCTTACAGTATAACATCTTTGCCAGAAGTCACTGCTAAGAAACATCATCTGAAACTTCTATAACCTAGTCTCCCACATTCCACGCTATCCTGTATTACTAGCAATGATGACACCGGGAAAACGCTGTGCAATTTGTATAATCACACTGACATCACTGCCACGTTTCCTAGTGGCTAGCTTCACTTTTTGTCCTAATCCATTATGCATCTGATCTAAAATTATTCAAGCTTACTGACTGAAGACAGAAACCGACAGTAACATACCTGCTCATCAACGGGAATATAACACGGACCAC